TACACTCACAAATATATGTTTTATTCATAGATCTTTGCATATATAACGATATATATTTGTTTGTTTGTGTGATATGTTTGTATTTATTTTACGTATAAAGTAATAAATTCTTTTAGGTTTTACATTAATATGGAAATACTGAATTTTGAAATTGGTGGTAGAGTTTGAGTTTTGTAAATTACTAAATTTAATTAATAAATATTTTTTATATTAATAATTCTTGTCTAATTAGATTTTATTTTATTAAAAAACTCATAATAAATAAATAATAAGACAGATTTTTATAGAAAATAAAACAGCTAATTAGTGGTAGATTTTATATAATTTTTTTATTTTCTTTAAATATATTCTTGTTTAATTATATCTTCTTTAATTAAAAAAACTCATAACAAATAGATAAATAGGTAATATATGTTATAGTTTTATAGAAAATCTTTTAAAGACACTTTTTATATAAATTAATAAATATCTTTATATATTAATAATTCTTGTCTAATTAGATTACCTTTTATTAAAAAAAACTCATAATAAAAGGTAATTTGTAGTAGAGTTTTAGAAAAATTACTATATTTTGTATATGAATTAAAAAATATTTTTTATATTAATAATTTTTGTCTAATTATATTTTCTTTTATTAAAAAAGTCATAATAAATAAATAAATAGGTAATTTGTGTTAGACTTTAATAGAAACACTTTTAAAAACTCTTTTTCTATCAATTAATAAATATTTTTTATATTAATAATTTTTCTCTAATTAGATTTTCTTTTATTGAAAAACTCAAAATAAATAGATAAATAGGTAATTTGTGTTAGAGTTTTATTGAAACTTGTTTAAAACATCTTTTTATTTCAATTAATAAATAAATTTTATATTAATAATACTTGTCTAATTAGATTTTCTTTTATTAAAAAACTCATAATAAATAGATAAATAGGTAATTTGTGTTAGAGTTTTAGAAACTCAAGAAAAATGAATTTTATTAGTTAAATTTTAATTTTAATTAAACTATTTAAATTCATTTTTATGAATTTTATTAGGTAATTTGTAATTTGAATTAGACACTTTAAATAGTTTTAAAGGTTAGCCAAAAGGCCGAGAAAGTAAGACTACACTTGATCTTAGCCAAAAGGTCGATAAAGGTTAGCCAAAAGGCCGAGAAATGTATTATTATTATTTCTTTAGGTCTATAGTTTTATAAGAGGTTTTCATTTAATCATTTATAACTTAAAACCGATGTAGGACTGGAAAAATGAATTTTATTAGGTAATTTGTAATTTGAATTAAATTCTTTTAATTAATTTCTGCGCTATTTAAATTCATATTTATGAATTTTATTAGGTAATTTGAAATATATTTCGTGTTAGGGTTTTAATAAATATTTTGTTTGAATTTTATTAGGTAACAAAATTTTATATTTTATTTGAATTTTTTTAGGTAATAATTTTTAGAGTTTCTATAATTTGAAATATATTTCGTGTTAGAGTTTTAGTAAATATTTTATTTGAATTTTATTAGGTAATAATTTTTAGAGTTTCTATAATTTGTGTTAGTGTTAAAATATATTTTGTGTTAGAGTTTAATAGAAACTCTTTTAAAATCTCTTTTTATATCAATTAATAAATATTTTTTTATATTAATAATTATTGTCTAATTAGATTTTCTTTTATTAAAAAACTCATAATAAATAGGTAATTTATGTTAGAGTTTTATATAAACTCTTTTAAAATTAACCTTTTTTTATATCAATTAATAAATAATTTTTATATTAATAATCTTTGTTGAATTAGATTTCATTTTATTAAAAAAAGTCATAATAAATAGATAAATAGGTAATTTGTGTAAGAATAACTTTTTAGACATTTATGTTAGAGTTTTAATAAATATTTTATTTGAATTTTATTAGGTAATAAATTTTAGAGATTCTATAATTTGAAATATATAATTTTGAAATGTATTTCTTGTTAGAGTTTTATTAAATATTTTATTTGAATTTTATTAGGTTATAATTTTTATATTTTATTTGAATTTTATTAGGTAATAATAAGGTCTACTACACTTGATCTTAGCCAAAAGGCCGAGAGCGGTTAGCAAAAAGGTCGAGAAAGTAATACTACGCTTGATCTTAGCCAAAAGGCTAAGGAAGTAGTACTACACTTGATCTTAGCAAAAAAGAGTAAGAAATGTTAGCCAAAAGGCCGACCCAAAAAAATTTAGTACTACACTTGATCTTTAGCAAAAGGCCGAGAAATGTTAGCCAAAAGGCCAAGAAAGGTGTGATTATTATTTCTTTAGGTCTATAGTTTTATAAGAGGCTTCCATGTAATCCTTTTTATTTAAAACCAATGTAGGAAAGGTGTGATTATTATTTCTTTTAGGTCTATAGTTTTATAAGAGGCTTTCATGTAATCCTTTTTACTTAAAATCAATGTGGGAAGTGAATTTATTAGATAATTTGTAATTTGAATTAACTCTTTAAATTAATTTTCATAAATTTTATTAGGTAATTTGTAATTTGAATTAAACTCTTTAAATAATTTTTAGGTAATTTTTTGTTTTAAATAAATACTGAAAGACTGAAACTCTTTTTTATATCAATTAATAAATAATTTTTGTATTAATAATACTTGTCAAATTAGATTTTATTTTATTAAAAAATTCAAATAGGTAATTTGTGTTAGAATAATTTTTAATGTTTTATGTTAGAGTTTTAATATAAATTTAATTTGAATTTTATTAGGTAATAATTTTAATAGTTTCTATAATTTGAAATGTATTTCTTGTTAGAGTTTTAATAAATATTTTATTTGAATTTTATTAGGTAATAATTTTTATATTTTATTTGAATTTTATTAGGTAATAATAAGGCCGAGAAAGTAGTATTATAGCCGAGAATGGTTTGTCAAAAGGCCGACCCAAAAAAAATTAGTATTTCACTTGATCTTAACCAAAAAGTCAAGAAAAGTTAGCCAAAAGGCCAATAAAGTAATACTACACTTGATCTTAGCATGATCATAGTCAAAAGGCCGACACTCTTGATCTTAGCACGATCTTAGCCAAAAGGCAGAGAAAGTAGTACGTACTACACTTGATCTTAGCCAAAAGACCAAGAAAGGTTAGCCAAAAGGCCGACTTAAAAAAATTTAGTACTACACTTGATCTTAGTCAAAAGGGCGAGAAAGATGTGATTATTATTTCTTTAAGTATATAGTTTTATAAGAGGCTTCTATGTAATCCTTTTTACTTAAAACCAATGTGGGACAAGAAAAATGAATTTATTAGGTAATTTGTAATTTGAATTAAACTATTTAAATGAATTTTTATAAATTTTATTATGTAATTTGTAATTTGAATTAAACTTTTTAAATAATTTTTAGGTAATTTTTTGTTTATAAAAACTCTATTTTTTTATATTAATAAATAAATACGGAAATATTCAAACACTGAAAATCTTTGCACATTTTTATTAAAATAATTCTTGTCTAATTAGATTTTCTTTTATTAAACAACTCATAATAAATAGATAAATAAGTAATTTATGTTAGAGTTTTATAGAAACTCTTTTAAAATTAACCTTTTTTATATCAATTAATAAATAATTTTTATATTAATAATCCTTGTCAAATTAGATTTCATTTTATTAAAAAACTCATAATAAATAAATAAATAGGTAATTTTTGTTAGAATAATTTTTAAACTTTAATGTTAGAGTTTTAATAAATATTTTATTTGAATTTTATTAGGTAATAATTTTTAGAGATTCTATAATTTGAAATATATAATTTGAAATGTATTTCTTGTTAATTTCTCTCTCTGCTGTTTGTCATTTTGCCTCTGGAAATGTAATTTCCTTAGCTCGCCCCTAGTCATGACACTATCATTATTGGGATAAATTTTAGAGGTTTACTTTAGTTTTTACCACAAAAAAAAGTTTAAAAAAAAGTAGAAGTATCCAGGTATACAATTCATGCAAGCTGGGAGAACGAAATTCGTACTATAAATGCGGACATAAACATCTTCACAAAATATCACCAACTGATTAAGAGTTTTAATAAATATTTTATTTGAAATTTATTAAGTAATAATTTTTATATTTTATTTGAATTAATAAGGCCGAGAAAATAGTACTTTACTTAATCTTAGCCAAAAAGATTAAAAATAGCCAAAAAATCGACCAAAAGGCTGAGAAAGTAGTATTACACTTGATCTTAGCTAAAAGGCCGAGAAAGGTTAGTCAAAAGGTCGAGAAAATAGTACTACACTTGATCTTAGCCAAAAGACTAAAAAAAGTTAGCCAAAAGGCCGACACAAAGAAATTTAGTATTATACTTGATCTTAGCCAATAGGCCGAGAAAGGTTAGCCACAAGGCCGAGAAATGTGTGGTAATAATTTCTTTAGGTTTATAGTTTTATGAAGGCTTCCATGTAATCGTTTTTATTTAAAACCAATGTGGGACAAGAAAAATGAATTTATTAGGTAATTTGTAATTTGAATTAAACTCTTTAAATTAATTTTATTAAGTAATTTGTAATTTGAATTAAACTCTTTAAATAATTTTTAGGTAATTTTTTTATTTATAAAAACTCTTTTTTTATATTAATAAACAAATACTGAAATACAAACACTGAAACTCTTTACACATTCAATAATAGTATTGATATAGATATAAATATGTTTCCACTTGCTAAACCTACACCAAAAACCACCTCTACTCTCCTTACTTACTTTTCTAACACAGGCATTTTCTATTTTTGAAAACTAATTCAAAATCATAATTATTATATTATTAATTTTTTTTAACATTCGAAATTACTAGTAAATTTCTATATAGTCCGTATTTTCAACGGGTAAGAATTAAGAAAAGTCTTGCCAATTATATATATATATATATAGGGAGGTGTGATAGGTAGCCTAACAGCAATTAATAGTTTTGCCGATTCTAGCTTGGGGAGTCCGTCACTGTGTGTCCTGATTGAAGTACTTTTCATTCACGCGTTTTTTTTTAGTATTATATTCTCTGTTGGTTAACACGCCAAGAAGGAAAGAGGGAGAGAGAGTATCCAATAAACTGCTCCGATCTCTATAAATTAGAGAACCCAGAAGAGAGAAAGAGAGAAGAGATTTGGGATTACTGAAATCCGAAATTTGGAGTTTGAAAGATTCTTTAGAGAGAGAAAGAGGGAGGAGAGAGAAAGAGAAAGATGGGAGGTTGCTTTTCGGATGTGAGAGGAGGCCAACAAGCGGCGGGAGGGGCCCAACAAAGGCCCCTACAGAGGAACGATGTTGGTGTTGGTGGTGGCGGCGGCGGCGGGGGCCACAATGATGCTGTTGACTACTTCTTTAAAACGAAGGGTCTTGGTGCGCTCTTTACACAGATCGAGGTATATATATATATATATATTCACAATTTCACACACACAACACACACACACATGTATACGGAGCTGGGTTTTAATGTAGAGTACTTGTCACTTCCAACATGGTTTTCGATGTCCTTTCAATGTTAGGTCAATTTTATCCCATGTGGTCCTTCTTTTTACTGTTTTATTTTTTATCCTTATACTTAATCCAATAGTCCTCACCCTCAGCATTCTTGCCTTGCCTTACCTTTGTTTTATATGAATGGGTACATACATTCTTTAATTTTTTTAATGTAACTTTAATAACATCATTCCAATTTATTCTTCGTATATGTATATGTATGTATGCGTGCGTGCGTGCGTGTGTGTCGTAGTGTGGGGGTAATTGCCAATGTTTTCATTGCTCTGTCTAGATTAAGCGAAATGAACTGTTCACTGGAAATGCCAAGGAATGTTGAGTTAAATTCTTCTTGTTGAGTGACATGAAGGAAAAAACAGAAGAAGACATGACTGTGCTTTGGGACACTTTTGGCTTCCTTATTTCATTGATTTTTGGAAAGAGAGCAAAAGCTAAATACTGCTAAAGAAAGTGAATTAGATGCATATACAGTGTTTGATTTTTGATCTCAATGACACTCAATGACACCCTCAAGCGACGATGGGATGGAAATTGATTTTCGCCAAGATCTATGGATTGATATTAGCATATGGGTTTTTATTTGGGAGAAAGATCCTCTCAATTGGGCTGGGCTTTCAACCCACTGGGGAGTGGGGAGGGTGGAAATTGATTTTCGCCAAGATCTATGAATTGATATTAAGCATATGGGTTTTTATTTGGGAGAAAGATCCTCTTAATTGGACTGGGCTTTCCACGCACTGGGGAGTGGGGAGGGTGGATATTACGTTATTACCTGTACAAGTAGGTTCAGAGGGGTTGACTTATTCCACCATTGGCCATTTATTATAAGTCAATTAACCAAGACATGACCAAGATTCGCTCCGCTTTATGTGTATTTAACCTTTTAAGTATAAGACAAAGCTGTTGATTCCAGAATTCAGAATCTTATTTGTCCTGAAATTAAGAAAAAATGAACCAATGATTGAGAATACATCAAGTTGGCCATAAAATGTAGCTTTTACCCCCTTCATGCATGTCTTGGTTAACTACACTTAATTTATTATTCTGATATAAATTTGTCCTGGGGTCCCATAGGTATCATCCATTTGGATCCTTCCTTGTATTCTACTATTCAACTTGAGCTTGAGGAATGGTTAAAATATGTTTCTGAATCTTTTTAAGACTCTTATACACTTTAATTATCTGATTTGGGCATCAAGCAGACCAAGTATGTTCTTTCTATTAGATTCTGTCTTTTAATGTTGATTCCAAATAGTGCTTTATGTGACATGGATGTACATCCAGCAGTGCAAACCTTAGCCATTCGAAAGAGACACGTTAATGGTTGAAAGTAAGATTTTATACTTGTATTGGTGTGTCAAGAGGGAAGATTTTTTTTTGGCAGATTCACAATCAAAATTGTATTTCTGTGTTTGGATAAGACTGAAGGTTCCAACTGTCTATCACCTGAGCAGAAACATATTTTGCAAGTTTTGGACCATGAATTTATCTCGTCACTGAATAAGAGTGGAGTTATACACAACTCCTGGCGTGACAATAGTACGATTCCACTGCCAATAGGAAATGCCAGTGGACCAAATTGCAGTATAGTTCTTAACTTCTTTTGTTTTTTAATTTTTTGGGAGGGGTGGAGTAATATATCATCATAATCTTAAGGTAATTGTGATGCTATAGGGTTGAGTTTCCTTGTCCTTATCTCACCTATTTTCTTTTCATGGCCTTCACACACTATCTATTTAATTTAACTGTACATGGAGCAATAATGTGTTTCAATTGAAATGCAGTTATCTCTGTCGGCTTCAAAATTACGCGATCGTGACATCATTTCAAAGGTATGTTCTCAAATCCATAGTTTAAAATCATGGGATTAGATGACTATACATTCATTGAGATAGGTTCAGCAATTATTCATTGGTTCTGTTGTTTAATTTTCATTGACTCTTTGGTATTTTGGCCGCCTTTGTGAATCTGATTTTTGGAGTGACAAATATTTGTACTGTAAAGAATTGTCTACACTGGACGCATAAATGTTACATGAATTAAGAAAATGTAGCCGTGGTTGGTCGGTTAGGTGCTGCCTCCATTCTGCCATCTCTATAGACATTTCACTGTGTACTGAATGGACCATATAACATGTGTGAATAGTCATTCCCAACTCTTAGAAAATGTGGGAAAGCGGCTCTTGAGTCTCCAAAATCAAATATTTGATCCACAAGTTTTAATTTATTTATGCCTTTCATTTCCAACTACCTATGAGGGAGGAATTCATGAATGTTTTTTTATATAATTCATTCAAAAGAGAACAAGCTGGAGACCACAGGCCACCTGGCTTGGTAGATAGATATATACTCTCTGAAATATACTAAGGAATTCCACCAAAATTGTCATTATATGGCTTGACCTTGAATTTTTTTTTTTTCATTGCAGAGTGATCCTATGGCAGTAGTATATGAAAAGAAAAGAGATGGAACCTTAGAGGAAATTGGCCGTACGGAAGTGATAATGAACAATTTGGATCCTGCTTGGATTGGAAAAATTAATGTTTCGTATCAGTTTGAGATTGTTCAGCCTCTGATGTAAGCATATCGTATTTCTCAACATCCTTGTGTGGATTTCTCTTGTTCACTATATCTGGTAGACCTTTCTTGGCCTTGAGAATTTATTTCTCATGATTCCCATTTTGTTTTTTCAGCTTTCGTGTGTACGATGTGGATACGAAATACCACAATTTACCAGTGAAGGTACATTATGATTTCACGTTCTCAGGTCATTTAGTACTTGGATTTGAATTCAATAATCCTCACTATGTAGCTGAGATTTATTTTACATTTGCCAATACCTAAAGAATATACCAATGTTGGGGAACAGAGAGAGAATTAATATTCACCCAAAAAGTAATTATGGTAATATTTATGAACTGATGCAGTTTCTACTGCTTTTGGTTTGGATTTGGAATTCTGATGAAAATGGATAAAAGTATTCAGTTTTTAAATATCTAAGATGTGTGTTGTCTAACATCATACTAGACAGTATGAGATGCTAGTAAGCTACTGTATGTGCAACTTACTGATATTGAAATTTAAATAGTACATAACAATAGATCTGTTATTTATGCCAAGTTGGTGGTTTTTTTACATGACTTGCACAAAGTTATGGGTGCCAGAATTCAACTTGTTTGCCTTGTTGTGGAATTTATCTTACGTCTTACATGTGTGTTAGCTGTGAGTTAGGTGCAAGAAATTTAGAACCGGGGAAACATATGGAGATTTTTATTTATTTATCTATTTATTTTTTTATTTTTTTATGTTGTTTCATTTTTTATTTTTATGAGATTTTGAGACCTAAATAAAATTATGAAACCAAGATCAAAACTCAATTCACATGTCCTGAGTAAGACAATCATCACAAAAAAATCTTCTTCTTTTCGACTCTGCAATGCTATTGCAGAGTAGTCAACTGCTTTAGCTACTAATTTGGTAGTATAATTCCTTATTTTGACTAGTATGAGTTTGACTTTTTTCTTTCTTCTTTTTTCTTTTACTTTTTCTTTTGGTCGTTATTTTGCTATGATATTTGCACACAGAGGGACTAAAGTTTGCTTTAAAAACATTGGTTCAGGCCACTTATCAAAAAAAAAAAAAAAACATTGGTTCAGGCCATCGACCTTGATTTCCTTCCACTCTAGAACTAACTTTTCTTCGAACCATTCAATATCATATAACAGATCTTAGTGACTTTATATTGCTCATTTCTTTATTGTTGCCTCTTCTACGGTACCTTTTTACGGTCGAGTGGCCTGAGTATTTAAAGTAGAATATATTTCACATATAAATTCAGTATCTTCATGCTGGGTATGACCACGGATGGATAAATGATGATTCATGAACTTTTTTTTATGTTACATTTTCATATAATATTGTCACGTGCTATCATATGGATAAATTAATTTTTTGTGATATATTTTTAATGGTGCAATGGTTAATGCTCCCTACCATTATTGGAGAGAGTTTTTGGAAATTTATCTTCTTGAAATATTTATTTTAATTTTCTTTATGTTCTTTCAAGAGTTTTAGGCTTTTAAATGTTGACCTTTTAAGAATTATTAAGCCACAAAAATATTATTATCATTTATTGTTTTTATTTATGGAATATTTTCTTATCCTCAATCCAATCCTAAAGACCTACGAGTTGATCCAATATACAATTCCAATTTTACAACCTTGCTTCACAGGCCATCCTTTATTATTATTATTATTTTTTATGACTTCAATAATGTTGGTGGACTTTATTCCCAAAACTTAATTCTCTTCAAACAAGTTAACAAAAGATTGTGTGTGTGATTATATGATCCGCAATATGGGTTAACATTATGTATTTTGAAGGTGTTTGGGCGCAATTCACCATCCCACCGCAAATAGTAACTAATAGCAACTTTTGATTATCATAGGTAAACAAAAAGTTTGCAAATGATAAAGTTCTTCCATTTTGTTACATTGCAGATGCTGAAGTTGAAAGAACAAGAATTTCTTGGTGAAGCCAGTTGTGTAGTATCTGAGGTAAGATTCCTTGTATTCACTGGGGCCTAATCGAATTCAATATTGATGTTGCACACTCTTCAAGCTCTTTTGTGTGCCTATTTCATTGAGTTTGCTCCATATATTACATAAGTGTGGCAGTTTGAAAAATTATATAACGAAATGTTGCAATAGCTTTTTCAGTTAAACAAATAAAAGAAAAAGGGAACAGCTATTTCTTGACCTCTTTGGTTGAGCAGCATCACGTAACTGAGCAACTAGTCAAAATATCTGGTCCGTTATGTATCACAGGATATGTTTGGTTTGACCCATGTGTGTGTCTAAATATGTGTTCATCGTATATGCCGAATTCTTAAAAATCATTGGATTTTGTTGTTTGGGAAATAGTTCAACTGATTGCCTTTACTGTACATTTGAGAAAACTACATGTTTTAATTATTAGAGAAACTGTCCATCTATGCAATTAAACAATATTAACCATAGAATTATTGTTCTCATGCAAGCACTTGCATATATTAGCCATCGATAATTACCCTGGCATTCTTCTTCACTGTATAGTAACAGTGTCAAAGTGACAAAATTTGGACATGTATAAGCATCATACCCAACAGTTCCAAGTTGGCGGGAAATCTGTGAAGATGCGTACGGGACTTGAAAAAATGTCCTCATTTAAGTCTAAATTACACAGCTTTACCCATGAACTGTTCCTTTGACTACATTGCTGCATATTTCACAACACGTGTCTCACTGCATTCTACTGGCCCCTTTTTGGGTCCCATGACATGCTTCAAAATGTGGATTCAAGTTTTGTGAAAGTCCAGACCTACTTTGGTTTGATCCACTCAAGGAACTCAAATTTGAGCAATGTGTGGAACTCCTATTACCAGCGCAACATATTTGGACAATTCTTTTCTGGCAGGACCCACTTGCGGCTTCCCCCTAGTTGAATATGTGCATGTATTGAAAACTGTGCAATAGATTTCTTCAGTGAAGGATGGCTTTTCAGAATAGTGCTTCTATATCTCTTTCTTAAATGAGGCTTGTTCTGTAGTTATTATAATATGAAGTAGTTGGTTGGGAAGTTCTTTCTTTTTATGTAGAAATATTCTTAAATGTTTACTTCTCTTTCTCCTTTTTTAATTCAACAGATATTGACTAAACAAAGTCGGAGTTTGACCCTTCGCCTTCACAATAAAAATGGGCACAGTGGTCTGAAAAACTTGGGGACACTAACTGTCCATGCAGAGGAAACTGCTGGTTCAAGAAATGCTGTAGAGATGACATTCCATTGTTCCAACTTGGATAACAAGGACCTATTTTCCAAAAGTGTATGTATCTGGAAGCATATATCATTATGGAGCTTTTGGTTACTTGTGGAATTTTTAGCTCTTAGATATTTTTCTTACTTACTGCTTTCAGGATCCTTTCTTGAGAGTATCTAGGGTTGTTGAGACTGGTATTTCTGTTCCAATTTGCAAGACAGAAGTCGTGAATAACAACTTGAATCCAATGTGGAAGCCTCTATGTCTCACAATGCAGCAGTTTGGGAGCAAGGCAAGTTTGTCAATTCTTGTGATTAGGTCTGGAATGGATTAAGCTTAGTTTATGATATCTGTGGTTGTCTCATGTTTTTGTGGCAATGATTTATGTTTGAGCTAATTTAACATAAAGGCTCTTACAATTTTGCATTTTGGAAGGCATAGTCACTGTTGGAAATGTAACTGAAGGGACATAATTATTTTATCTCTTAATCACAACACTTCGTCCCTGGATCCAGATTTGTTAATTTACATTTTGTGATTGATACAACTACAGTTTGCTATTATTTATTTATTTTATTGGTTGTTTACCAAAAAAAAATATCTCTTTGGTGCAGGATAATCCATTAGTTATTGAGTGCTTTGATTTCAATAGCAGTGGCAATCATGTACTGATCGGGTAATTGTTCAATTTATTCGTCTTGTTAATTCCTTTTTTTTTTTTTTTTTTTTTTCAGTTAGAGTTCCTTCTTTTGTTTTGTTTTTGTTTTTGATTTTTTTTTTTCTTTGCCTTTTTGCTTGTTTTATTATTTATTTTTTCAGAATTTATTTTTTCTTTTATTGCTAATTATATTGATACTACGGTTCATTTGAAACAGTAAAATGCAGAAATCAGTGACGGACCTTGAAAAACTTCACAAAGAAAAGATTGGTGCAAATTTTATCATGCCATCTGCTCGCCAGGGTCATGAAAAGGTATTTATTTTGTACTTGAAAAGGATTTTAGCCACTTGTTGTATGTCTGTCATGTCTGAACCTACACTGTGCTTATCTTCTGTAGGTTCTGAAGGGTCAACTTTTTGTTGATGGCTTTGTTGAAAAGAAACTGCACAGTTTTATCGATTACATTTCTAGTGGCTTTGAACTTAACTTTATGGTTGCTGTTGATTTTACCGGTAATAGACCTTCAACATTTAAAAAAGCTATACTATTCCAATCAAATTTGTATTGTAAATATAGGGGTTTTGCTCATGAATTGAATTTGAATTTTTTTCCAGCTTCAAATGGAAATCCTCGCAGTGTAAGTTCTTTGCACTACATTGATCCTTCAGGCCGGTTGAATGCTTACCAGCAGGTAAGGTGGTGCCACCTGTGGTGTTCTCAAATTTGGAAGTATCTATAGCTTCAAAAATAATTTAAAAAATCTTCAATACTTTATATTGGGGCTAATGAGCCTACCATTAAGTCAGATACCCTTGAGTTTCCACCTGTGGTGTCTTAAATTCTGGAAGTGTCTATGCTTCAAGAATAATTTTTAAAATTTGTACTAGTTTATAGGGGCTAAAGAGCCTACCATTAAGTCAAATAACCTCAACTTCTCCCATGGGAATGCAGACTCATAAACTTGTTTTATCTGTTGATCACATTGATTTGACCTGTCGATGTGGTTATGAACTGCAGATTCTATGAAAGTGGCTGTTAAAGCGAGTGCTTAATTTAATGACTGAACTCCTCGCAGGCTATAACGGAGGTTGGCGAGGTCATACAATTCTATGATTCTGACAGGCGCTTTCCTGCTTGGGGCTTTGGAGGAAGGACGTTTGATGGTTCAGTATCTCACTGTTTTAACTTGAGTGGTACAGGTGGCTTTGAGGTAAATATATTGCAAGGGATGGAAAATACATCCTACTTTACTTGTTTTTAATTTGGGTAATTACTATGATTTCCCCTAAGGTTTAGGCTTATCTATGTCAGATGAAACTTTTAAAAAAAATATGGTCAACCTGCCCTGTTGATTTCTAAAAATACTCTGACCTCCCCTGCAGTGAAGTAATCATTAGGGCCGTTAGACAATTTTATGTGAAAGTCCAAAACTACCCTTACAGTAAACAAAATGACATAACTGACCTTTCAAAAATTATGGAAAGACAAATTTAACCTTTCTCTTTGGACAATAATACCCTTATTGGTTGAGACCCATTTCATTATTTTAACATCCAGCTTTTATCTCATTTTCTCTCTATTTGGTTGTAGGATAAGTGGCCTCCTTGCTCTCTAAACACGAAGTTGCTCTCTCCATTTATAGAGCACATCTTCTTGTTAAGAGCTTCTCTCCAGCTAGTGCCCAATATTTTATGCCCTCTCTCTCTCTCTCTCTGTCTCTCTCGTGTTCTGGTTGCTATTGTGACTGTTAGTCTATATGAGATTGGATTGGTTGATCTATGTTTTATTGGTTGTTGTAGATACACTAAAAAAAAATGCCTTGAACAAACATACCCATTTCTTGTGAACCAAATAATATTCAATCCACATGTAGTTGGAAGCAGAACTTTCAGCTCAAATTGGAGTTAGAAATAGAAAAAGAAACAAAAAACAAACAAATATGAGATCAACGAGGAAAATTTAAAAGCTAATAAATTAATATTCAAACATAAGCGAATATCTAAGAACTCATAATACAAGTAACGGAACTTCAAGGTCAAGTTTGGAAATTGGAAAACAGAACAAACCGAATAAGTGACTCATGATCTGATTCTAAAAATATAACTGAGTATATGAAGAAACATTGAAGAGAGAGATATGCCAACTCTACCTCACAACCTTCACGGTCACCAAACTCTTTAGATCTTTGTGGTTTTCATTAGAAATGCAATACATATGTTCAAGATCACACGGAATCAAATTTCACGGTTCTCAAAATTTGGTTTGCCAGAGTGTTTGAGATATCTTCAAAGTGGTGGTTTGGGGTGATAAAGGAATATGGAGAGATCATGATTTGTGATGGAAGAGCGATATGTTTGGAGCAGGGGGGGGGGGGGGGGGAGAGAGAGAGAGAGAGAATGTGCTCGAGTTGACAAGCTTGATTTTTTGAGCAGTATGCTGCCTTAAACATCATATTTTCATCCCTGTGATAGGTGTATGTGGGTGGTGGTGATGCTGCCATCATTGATGAATAACCATATAAGTCTGGTTCCTTGCATCTTTTACATGGCGTGATGGTCAATTTCCCTTCATGTTACAGGTTGAAGGAGTAGAAGGTATAATGGCTGCTTATTCAGGTGCTCTGAACAATGTTGCTCTTGCTGGACCCACCTTATTTGGTCCGGTTATCAACAAGGCTGCAGAAATTGCTGGGCATTCCCTCTCATACGACAAGAGCAAGTACTTTGTCTTGCTGATTATAACGGTAGTGAATCAAACGACAAATATTTGCTTCTTTCTTGTTCTTTCTATTTTTTATTTTTATAATAAAATAATTTCATACTTTTGTAGGATGGAGTCCTTACTGATCTTCAGGAAACTAAAGATGCTTTAGTGAGAGCATCCGACCTACCGCTTTCAATTCTTATTGTTGGAGTTGGTGGTGCAGATTTTGAAAAAATGGAGGTAGTATGTCCTTAATTTTTTGTATTCAGATTTGGCCTTCAATTAATTCACTTTTATTAGCATAATAGCACTAAAAATCCTTTCATTGTTGGTGTTGGATGTTATCCTTTTACAAACATGTGTGTTAAAACTGGTATGTGACATAATTCTTGTTTATCATGCAGATCCTAGATGCCGATGGTGGGCAAAGATTAGAGAGTTCCACGGGAAGGATAGCTACACGAGACATTGTACAATTTGTTCCGATGCGTGATGTGCATGGTGAGTTCATCTTTGTTTAGCTTACAAATTTTAAAGATGTTAGACATTTCGGTCAGATTTTTCTTGTTCCTCATATGCAGTTCTAAAACATAATTGTTCTTTTCATGTTCCTATTTTCTAGTGTATGTGTATCTACTGTATTCTTGTCAACCTTCTTTGATGCTTTAAGCTTCTTAGCTTGCCTGTTAATGAAGTTCAAGTTGAAGGTGGATTCAAAGGTGGTCTTGGTTATTAATACCAAAAAGTGCAGTTGTGAGGGGTTCAAGATCGAATTTTGATGTTCATTGTGAGGGGTTCAGCTGAGCTTAGTTGCTTCAAGCTTGGCTTGTCCCAGCCAGCCGCCTTTGATGCTTCGAGCCTTTTGGTTGTTCAACCTGGAAGAAGCTCATGTGAAGATGGATTAGGAGATATGATTCGTGCATGATTGGAATTGAGAAATAAGTTTTCCCAACAGTTGAGAGAGTGGTTTTGATGTAAACATCAAAGGTGATGGTGGGGCAGACTACCATGGCACTAACTGCAAATTGCTGTGTGCGATTTGTACCTCTTAAGTTGGGATTGAAAGGAATAGCTAGGTTGAAGAACTAGACTACCAATCAATAGTGCATTGCCTGCCTTGTTATGACATGACTAGGAAATTTATATTTTGCTTTTAGCAGTAACACTTGATGTTGTCTTAAGCCTGAATAGGGTTCTGTTGATACACACTATTGAACCTGATGTAAACCTTGCTATTTTCAATAGACAGTTTGTGTACTAATTAATTATATGTGAAATATCCTCCTCCTGTTTTGTTATAGTTTTCGTCTTCTGCTTTTCTATTTCACTGTAAATAAAACATTTTATCCCCTCGTGCAGGCGGGCAGATCTCGGTTGTTCAAGCTCTCTTGGAAGAGCTACCTGGTCAGTTCTTGACTTACATGCGGAGTAGAGATATCAAACCACACACGGCCAATGTAGCCCGAACTTCTTCTCAAGCGTATCCACACACGGGCAATGTAGCACAAACTTTTTCTCAAGCATATCCACACACGGCCAATGTACCCCAAGCTTCTTCTCCAGCGTATCCACACACGGGCAATGTAGCCCAAACTTCTTCTCAAGCGTATCCACACACGGGCAATGTAGCCCAAACTTCTTCGCGTATCCACACAGGGCCAATGTAGCCCAAGCTTCTAATCCAGCGTATCCACACACGGCGAATGTACCTCAAGTTTCTTCTCCACCGTATCCACACACGGCCAATGTAGCCCAAACTTTTTCTCCGGTGTTTCCACACACGGCCAATTTAGCTCAAACTTCTTCGCAAGCGTATCCACACACAGCCGATGTAGCTCAAACTTCCTCGCAAGCGTATCCACACACGGCCGATGTAGCCCATCCTTCCTCTCGACCATATCCTTGAATGGTCAAGATCACTACCAATAATTTCAGAATTGAAGTAAATATTTCCCATCTTGGTTGAAGCTGTGCTGGCATCAGGTACAGGAATTGCTTAGAATCGGAAGGCGTTTTTCCATGTACAGGAATTTCTTAGAATTGGTGGTCAAGATCACCACCAATAATTTCAGAATTGTAGTAAATATTTCCCATCTTGGTTGAAGCTGTGCTGGCATCATTACATGTACAGGAATTGCTTAGAATCAGAAAGCGTTTTTCCATGTACAGGAATTTCTTAAAATTGGTAGATGTGAAGGGAAAAAATATATAGAAGTGCATATCGTTAAGAAGTAGAAATTCTTTTGTTTTTTAAACAGTAAACACAAATTGTTTCACAGTATAGTTGATGGTATTTCAAGAAAAGTAGACAAGTGATGGTGCCAACTATGATTGGTTTGATAATATTGAGAATCCATGCTGGTTTCATGATCTTTAACATGTTTTTTGAATTCGTTGCTTTTTCAGCCAAGAAATGTATGCGATGTGCATTTTTTTATTGCCATTATTTTAAGAATGAAACTAACTTCTTCACTAGAGCTTTATTTATATTTGATTTGTTACCAAGGCATGGGAATGAAAGTTAAAGAGTGGGAAAGAATGTTAAAGGGGTCTTGACTCTTGTCTAGCTTGAAATCCAAATTGGGAAAGTCTTGAACAATATGGTTTACCTTCTGGGTCAGTTACCAAGCTTACAATTTGTTTTGGTTAGAATATATATTGAAAAAAAAAAAAATCCCCTTTCTCTAACATTACTTTACTAACATTTATTTTCTATTTTTGAAAACTCATAACTAAGAGAAATTCATAATAATTATAATCTTCTTGAAGACTGAAAAAATATATCTATATTTAGTACATAAATAAATAAACCTTCTCTAACATTACTTTACTAACATTTATTTTCTATTTTTGAAAATCCATAACTAAGAGAAATTCAGAATAATATTATCTTCTTGAAGACTCATGGTAGTAGATTTATATATGTCGTTTTGAAGAAAAAAATTTAAGAATAGGAAATATTGGGCCCATTTTAAAATTCTGTTTGATTCAGTTTTTTAAAAATGGTTATTTGAAAACTTAGTTATAAAAAGGATATATTTTCAATGAAAACAGTTTTATATTCTCTTAATTCTTGAGAACGGTTTTTAGAGTTACTAAATAGTGACTATAAAATTGTAAAAAATTCCACTTAGATGCTATTTTTCATAAATTTTCTTATTTATTTTTTTTAGCGGTGTCTTTTTCGTGAGGAGGAGCCGTACTTGTATTCGTGTAGGACACTCACAATCATGAATACTGACACTCCTCGGTCATGTGTTCGACACTTCATATACGTGTCTATGTAACGACCTGAACCCGTAGGTTCAAACCGTTAACCGGGTTCTTACCCGAACCCGAGGTCAATTATAAAAAATAAAAAAAAAAATTTGGTATGACCCCTGCTAAAAAGGAACCTACAACAATCTGTTTAAATGCATAAAAATGCAATGGCCTCTCTTGGACCTTCAAAACTTATCTAACATGTCCCAAAACACTTTGAAATGCATCATATTACTTTCATGGATGAAAAACATCATTAATTATTTACAATCACAACTTCATTAACCCCATTCACATCAAAAATATATATGATCTTTACACTTGTCCAATTTACATCATAATAGAGTCAAGCTCAAAGTTACACTACAAAGCCATGCCAAACAAGTTTAATACATTTTTGTCATTGATGCCCTACAAAAGAATGACTCTAAAACACTAAAGGTTGCAAAACATCCCTTCTATTCCCATCATGTTTGTGGTGGATTGCCATCCGCCATTTCTTTGCCGTGTCCTGAAAAATGTTAATAAAGGGGTGAGCAAAAGCTCAGTAGGAAGTGCCTAAGGCACACCTCTTGGGACCCCGTGAATCCAAACAATGAATAGAAACAAAGGCAACAGGATCATGCAATGCCAAGAAAAAATACAATGCAAGTTCAAGTCATAATGAAATAAATTCATGCCATGAGATGCAATGCCATGAATGTCGCTCCCCATTTTTATTTTTTTTCAAAATCCAATCCATCACTTTTCACTGTTAACATAACCCGTCCCTCGGTGAATTTTTGGCGACACGAGGGAAGGATTGGCTACTGTCCCTGACCCTTAGTAACCCTGCGACGTCATTTGGGGCCCAGAAGCTCAACCACGCTAGGGTAATTTCCCTAGTTCCCTCTAGGTTACACTAACGTCATGGACCCTCGTTACCTCCTCGACGTCCGGGTTTTTCACAAAAACCTTTCCAAAACTTATTTTCCCAAAAGCAACATTTTCCATTTCCTTCAAAACAATTTCCCATTTCTTTCCCAATGCTTATGCATGGATGCCTCATGCTTTACAATCTCATAAATGAATGAACCGTGCCAATGCTCATTATTATACAACTACTTCAAGCTTAAAACACAGAGCATGCTTTACGAGAACTTCAAAATAAATAAAACATACTTACATTTAACAATAATTTGGCAAAGCAAACATGTAAGGCATGAATTCTACTTCATACAAGCATACTAGTCCATGTAAAATCAACTAAAACACATAGTCACATACTTTATTTGCAACAATTTCATCATTTTAGAGGAAAATCAATACAATTAGTATACTAAACCAAAAATTAATTGACAAAAATTCAAAAGACTGTAAATTAAACCCCCATACCTCACTTAGATGCAAAAACCCCTAAATGGGTCCAAAATTTTGAAATCCCTAAAGTGCACCAAACAAGGAATTGCTTATATCAACGCGTATATCTCGCTGGGCCGCCACAAACTGCATCCAAAAATTCCAAAAAATGAGGAAGAAATTTGAGATTGAAGTTTTGATTGAGAAAAAAAAAGAAAAAATGAAGAAATGTGAGGGAGAGAGAGATATTACGGGGAGAGAGAAAGGGAGTGAGGCCAAATGGCCTCTTGGCCACTAATTCATTTAGTGGAAAGTAGGTTCCATCACAAAATTTTAAATTTCTATTTTTGATTTTTCTTTTGCACCATTTAAATATATATACACAAACTATATAAAACCCACATAAGACACATTAAATAAAATGCATGAGATGCAAATGGACCCGACTAAAATTCCCATATGCAACAATTCCGGTAACGGGTCCCACACGGACCGTCCAGCCCGAAAAATAAAAAAATATGCAAAAATGACCACAATTGCATATCTAAGAGTCCTGAACTCAAATAAATGCCCCAACCAACTCTCGGACATAACTGGCACACCCCACGGTATCCAACATGCAAAACGAAAAAAGACGAAAATGCCTTTGCAAAAATAGAAAATTTCAGAAAATGAAAAAATGGTAAAAATTGGAAACATTACAATCTACACTCTTGAAAGAGATTTCGTCCTCGAAATCTACCCTACTTATAGAGAAGGCCCACAGCCACACACTTTCCGAAAACACCTCACAAAACCCAAAAACTATGAACTCACTGACATTATTGCCTTTGTCATCGGACGTCACTAGGCAATCACACGCCACTACCACCAAAACCCAATGAGGTTACCCATCTTTCCCTTCATCATAACACAGATTAACTAGACCTTACGCCTGACTTAAAACCGACATCAGTCTACTCTACACTGTCACAAAAGGCTCCAAAGCCCGAGAAAAGAACAGTTACCAGACCACC